AAAAAAAACCTTAATCTAGGGTTTAATTATACCCAATGGTCAAATGCTATTTTTGCAAGCTTTTTAAAGCTCAGCTCAAGTCGGTTTAGTATAAACATGAGGAAAGTTAAACACAGCTTAAAGCTCATCTTAACTCGAGTTAATGAAGCTTAGAGTAGTTTAATTTATTGAATTTTAAATAAACTTAATTCAAAATAATTTTTACTTAATTATAAATTAAGATATCATGATGGATTAAATAAATAAACTTAACTAAAATTTAGGCAAACAATTTATTTTTAAATTTATCCGAAATTTAGAACTCATTTTTTTTTTTGTCACCCAAATCATTTAACTTGGCTTAAAACTCAGTAAAAGCTTAGGACCAATTTAACAACACTCTTGATAATAAAAATTATATTTGATTAATATTTTATAATTATTTTTTATTTTTTTATTTTAAAAGAAAATCAAATTATTAAAAATGCTAATTATTTTATATATATTTTTTTTAATTTTCAAAATATGAACTCTTAAGTCTTGACCATCTCATGCTAAAAGCTGCCATCATTGTTTGCCCCTATCACAACTAGGAGTGTAAGTGAACTAAGCCAGCTTGAACTCTACTCATTAACAAGCTCACAAATTGAGTTTATCAAGCTCATATATTATACAAGCTCAAGCTCAATAAGTTTTTTTTAATTTTCAAAATATGAACTCTTAAGTCTTGACCATCTCATGCTAAAAGCTGCCATCATTGTTTGCCCCTATCACAACTAGGAGTGTAAGTGAACTAAGCCAGCTTGAACTCTACTCATTAACAAGCTCACAAATTGAGTTTATCAAGCTCATATATTATACAAGCTCAAGCTCAATAAGGCTCGGCTCGCAAGCTTGATGAGCTGCTTGTTTAAATTAAAATATATTTAAAATCTAGCAGTGTAAGTGAGCTAAGCCAGCTTGAACTATACTCATTAACAAGCTCACCTGTTGAATTTATCAAGCTCGAACCTATAGTCAAGCTCACATATTATACAAGCTCAAGTTCAACAAGACTCAACTTGCAAGCTTGTCAAGCTGCTCGTTTAGATTACAATATATTTAAAATCTAATTTTTAAATAATATTACAAAATATATACTGAATATTTTAATTATTGCACAAGTGAAGCTCAAGCTTTCTTAATGAGCTCGAGTAAACGAGATGAACTCGAGCATAATAATTTTCAAACAAGTAGAGATCGAGCTCAGTAAACAAGCTCGAGCTCGAGCTCAGCGAGAGCTAAAAATGCTTGATTAGACTAAGTCGCCTATTAAAAACCTTAATTATCATTATAACTGCCACATAATCACTTCCTCGTCAACACCAACATTATCACCTGCCATCAAATCCACTTTCATTCACTATCACCTCAACATTATTATTGGACTCATGCAACATTCAATAAAAAAATAGCCCTTACACCGATTTGACAGCCCATACTAAATCAGCAAAATAATGTTGAGAAATAACTAAATCCTTGCACGCAAGAAAGAGGGCTAACAAATCGTAAGAGTTGAAGCAAGCTACCATCAGATTCTGAATCTCAAAATTTCTTAACACAGTATAATATCTGTTAGTTGGGAGCTTTATCTGCCAACTAAGAGGTTTTAGGTTCAAATTTTGTGTATGCAATGTGTGTGTGAGTCAAGCTTAATTGGCCTAAATGTCCCAAAAAAAATTCCTTTAACCGGAAAAAAAAAAATCTAACTTAGCACAAAAATATAACGAAAATTTTGAAGTACCCTTAATGAAATAACCCAAAAAGATTGGATGCCATTTAGGAGATCCACCCAAATCCCCTCCTTGAACCCTACCAATTTATATGGTAACCTTACTGCAAAAATCAACCTACAACTAAATTTGAGTAGAACGTTTTGTTCCTAAAATAAAAATTACGCTTCACAATTTAATAATCATTAAACAAAAAAAAAAGAGAACAACCAGCCTCTTGAAACCCAAAAATGAAAACAATGTTTGCTTCTCTAGCCTGCAACCTTAAAAATCTGAGTGAAATTCATTTGTCAAGTATTCCAGTCAGCTCTACTTGAACGCATCTAAAATACCTTACAAGAGAGAAATTATTTTGTGTGGATGCCGAACACAATTTATCATCCGGAGACCAATCAAAATGCGCCACGTCAGCAGTACCGAGCCGGGCACCAAGCAGAGGGTGATGTGGCGCATTCTGGTTGGTCTCTGGACAATGTTCGGCATCACACATAATAATTTCTCCTTACAAGGAGACTAAAAAAGAGTTCAAAACAGCTAAACGACGCCTAATGGGTTAAAATATTTGGTTTTTTGGTTTTTTTTTTTTAGTGTGTCAAAACTGGCCAAATGTACTATAATTGCACAACCCTCAACCCAAATTTACATGGATGGAATGCAAGAGAAAAAGAGAGTTGCAACATTTGGTAAACTAAGCTGAATTAGCAGCTGTAGCTGACTCTGGGATTAAGCCGCATGAACGAAATGCTCACCTTTCCTTCATAAGTTTGATTTATGATGTAATGAAGGGATGGGGTAGGAATATTAATTGGTTATAAGAAACTAAATAAAATTGAGAATATTTGAAGATTGTAAGTTCTTTTTTGTTGGAAAAGTTAACAAAAGGAACGGGACTGGACTAGAAGGGGATAAAGAGTTCAAACATAAAACTACTGAAGCTAAGGGTGATTGCTATCAAGATAATTATCGATGAGAAAATTACGAATGTGGCTCCTAAAGTTGAACTAGAAGATGTTTAAAAAATTAAATTTGGGAAGAGAAGGATGAACTGCTCTATGTATCTACTAAAGAAAGGATAGTTATTTACGTGATTTAAAAGCCATATAAGTTCTAACGGGATGGGCAATGAGATGATAGAAGGTGGTGATGGAATTGTTAAGGAATGAACGAAAGGAGGCCAAAGTATGGGAAGATATATCAATGATCAAACCTATTTTCAACCTACCCTAAGCCAATTACTGTAAGGTCCAATAATCTGATATTTTCATACAAACATATCTTTTAACAATCTGATATAAGGAAAATCTAAAATCTCATGTGCCTTCATAATCTTCATCTCATGTGAACACTTCAAACTCCTCAAGTATTTTTTATCAATCCTCGAAAAACAACGAGAATTCTCCACAAAAATCCACACAAAACCACGAAAACAGTAGATGATTTGTATTATTTGATAAAAGGGAAACGAAAAATACAAAGATATAATTGATTCTCAATTCGAGAGGAGGATCTCTCTCCCAAATCTCTAGATGCCACTAGAGCCCGAAAGAAACCTAAGGGATCTCAAACTTCAGTTCAATTCAAGATGCCCTAACCCTAGGAAAACAAACTATTTAATGTATACAATTTAAAAGGAAATATCTAAAACAGCCCCTACTTCGAAATTTCCCCCCAACTCCCTTCAAAAACATTCCTAAATAGCTCTGTAGAACATGGGCAGTCAGATCCTGCGTAAACCTGTTTCGCACGAGCCGGTTTTGTAGGACCGGCTGGACATACAGAAGGCGGAGACTTCCACCTATTTCGCACGAGCCGGTTTCGTAGGACCGGCTGGACCAATCCAATGAACCTTTCTAACACTCTTCAAATATAATATTCCCAATACTATTGAGTACCAAGCATCAAGATCTCACCCAACCACTTGGAAATGTTGTGGAAGTCACCTACCTTGAACCTTGCTCACTCATGAAAGAAATCTACCATGACTGCAAATAGTATGAACCACTTAATCCCAATCGAATAATTAATTTTGATACCACTTATTAGAGAGTAAATCAAAGGGAGACAAAATGTTAATCAATATACACAAGCAATCAAATGTATTTTCAACCCAAAAGTTTAAGCCTATGAGTGAGGAACAATCAATGGCATTTTTACCCCTCTATATTTTCAACTATTCAATACCAAACAAATCCTAAAACCTCAAATTCCTTATTAGAAATAGTGATACAAATACAATTAGGGAAGCTATATTTGATTTTACAAAAACCTATTATATGTTATAAAGAACACATATTTAAAGAAAAGAAGAACACTTAATACTAACATATGTGGATTAAATCACACGAATATCTTTTTTATTTAGGGTTTTAGAATATATTTGGTTGTAAATATTTAGAATTTAGAGATATTTTAAATGCAATGTATTTGAAATTCAGGGGATTTTTTTTGTGCTTGGTTGAAACTAAAAAAAATAAGAATTAAAATTTTAAAAGAAAGAAAAACTAAGCTAAGTTAGCAAAATTAAAACTAAGCTTGCTCAGGGCACAGAGTAAGCATTGAAGGGATCAACAGCAAGTGAAGGAATCATGATAAAGCTAGCTCACGACAAGCATTAACAAGATCGCGTAAGTGTAATGGAATCGTGATAGGAGTTCATTTGAGGCAAACATAGATATGATTGGAAGCATGTGAAGTAAACACAATAGTAGCTCACTCAGGGCAAACATCAATAGGATTGTCGACGTGCGAAGAAGGGGAAATCACAAGTGGAGTTTGTTGGGAAACATATCAATGGGACTGACGGAGTATGAAAGAGAAGAGATCATGTGGAGAGCTCACACGGGGCAAGGTTTGATAGCATCTGAAGGAGAAGAAAAGGTCATGAAGGGAGTTTACCAGTGGCATGTCGCAATGTATTTCAAAATCGCCTAATTTGGGTGGTTTTAAAATATATACTAAGGATGAGTTTAAAATTCCTCCTTAAAATACTCCATATTTACTTTTAAGTCAAACAAATACCTAAATTTTAAAAACCTTTGCATTTTAAATGTAGCATAATAAAAAATCATTTAGCCAAATAGCCCCTAAGAATAGAAAAAACTTCATGCAAAGATGGTAATGAGATTCAAGGAGAGAGCTTGATCGCATAACATAGGCTAGCAATCATTGATATATATATTAAGTGCATAAACAAACTACAACAACAACAACATTAAGTCTTTATCCCAGTACGTGGGATCGGCTACATGAATCCTTTTTTCTCCATTGAGTCCTGTTAAGAGTCAAATTCTCATTCAAATCTGATAAAGAAAGGTCATTTCTAATATTTCTAACCAAGTCATTTTAGGACTACCTCTACCTTTTTTAACATAAGACAAATCTAATACATCTACTCTCCTAACCAGGTCATCGGAAGGCCGCCATTTTATGTGACCAAACCATCTAAGTCGACTCTCTCTAATCTTATATTCCACTAGAGCTACTCCAACCCTTTCACGTATATGCTCGTTTTGTATCATGTCTCTAAGAGTAAAGCCACTCATCCACCTGAGCATCCTCATCTTTGCAACACTTAACTTAATATTATGCTTCTCTTTTAATGGCCTACATTCTGCACCATAAAGCATTTCAAGTCACACCACCATCTTATAGAATTTTCCCTTAAGTAAACTAATTTAATTATGGTCCTTGGATAAAATGATGGATGAGAACTAATAACCTTTCAAGATGGTTACATAGAGAGGCAAATTGAAATTCTTTAATTGAGCCAAACTTGATGTGGAATAAAATGGAAAGAAGATTGATGTGGAAATTTTATAAAAGTTAAAGAAATTAATCATGCACTCATAAAGAAGTATGATGGTGGAGTGAAACTATACAAGGAATTGGAAAAAAAAACATTAAATGATTTAAAAAAATTGGATCATTGAAAAATAGCCCAAATTTGTTAGGATTGGACACATTAATGGGAAAATGTTTCAAAGCATAACATACGAAAGCAATTTCAATCTAAGCTGTCAGTAAAATGACACACTTTATCAATACAACTTCTGATAATATACACTTACAACACTCAGGGTTTGAGTTTAATATCCATTGACCCAAACTTACCAGGATGGCATACAAGAGAATAGAAGAAATGGAGAATCATAGCATTATATGTTGTATTGGCAGCTGTAGCTGACTTAGGGTTTAAGCCAGAGGAACACAATGCTGGAACTTTTTTTTTCAGACGTTTGATTTATTATGTAAAGGAAGAGTTGACTATAGCTTTCTGCTGGTCAGAAAAAAGAAAATATCCTAATAAAGGGGGAATAATTGGGAATAAACAGCACAACCCATCTTCAACGCAAAGAACCTATTATTGAAACATTAAAGCCAAAGCACTTCTTGATATAATTCCCATCAATAACAAAGGACAAGAAACATCAACCAAACGCAGAACACTCATAATAAGAAGGCAAAAATGGAAAAATTGTAACCAGTAGAAAATTTAATTTATGTTAATCACTATCTTTTTTCTAAATATAAAACAGAATTTCATCACCAGTATTAGCATTTCATACAGAAATAGTGCCATATTCCTCCTTACCAATCAGGATAACCAAAAATGAGTAACTAGCTAGCGACCTGAAGCACAAAAGATATAGACATTGTTTGCTTCTCCGATTAGCGTACTCCATTCTTTAAGGTTCCTGCAAACAAAGTAAGAACAAATGATAAAAGCCCATCAGAAATCATTCCAATAACAATAATTGCTACCAAAAGAACAAATGCAAAATTTCCCGAAAACCGAAGAACCTTGGCTCCATTGCCTCCTGGCTTGCACCAACTTGGCGGAGGGAAATAGATTCCCTTCATGGCAGCGATCTCCAAAATATCCGTGTCCGCAAACCTTTCATTAGTCTTTGTGCACATCATTTTCACGACATCAAGTAAAACTAATTGCTGCTGCTCCAAAGACACCATACATTCAGTAGAACCATCGCCGTCCTTACGATCACCAGGGCCACCAGAAGTATCAGGAGCAGAGCTAGGGTTTACGCTTTTGTCCTCGAGGTCCTCGAGGCGTTCTTTGCCCAACAAATCATCCCGCTTTTCTTCGTCGGAATCTGAATATCTGATCTTGGCACCCTTCGCCCTCCTCCTAAACACTGCAATTCTCTTCTTCCTCACAGGAAAAGGTTGGGAGCCTTTGCAGCTCGGCGGATCTGGGGTTCGTCCCGTTTGTGAGGAAGTGGAGGCGGAGGAGCAGGGCGTTTCCGGTAGAGTGCAGATGACGATCGATTCGTCCGCGTAGGGCGGAGCCTGGAGGTCATCTCGGTTGACGTCGGTGCTGGCGGCCGTGACATGGTCCGAAGAGTCAGTCTCGGCCATTTGATGAGAGACCTAAGCGGAGCCGCTGTCGACGACGGAGAGAGCTCGTTGCATCGGAGTGTCACCGATCTGCGGCGATGGAATCGCAAGCCAAGCCCTTAGGCACCTCGGCGGGAAATGCACAGGGGTTTATTTAATAAAGGAGCGGTTTAATTCTTAAAATTAGCAACTGATACATGGCTTATCTTAGGCTGTTGGTTCGAGTATTTGTGCATGTCTATGTGTATGAATTTATTTTAAATGATCTAAATATTTCAAAAATAAAAATAGCAAATAAGCATATTTAATATAAAAAAAAATTTGTCAAATAAAATAATAATATTCTGATTTATTTAACAAATTTGTTCTTTTTAAATTTTCTATTAAATATATTTTTTTTGCTAATTTTAGGAATTAAACTGATCCTTTATAATTTGCAAGTGTTCCGAGTTTGAGCACTGCATCTTGTTAACTTTATGTGTAAATTCACTCTTTCCATTTTAGAAAATAAAAATTATTATTATTATTATTATTATTATTACGAAAAAAATGAGAAGAAATTATAAAGGATGTTAATTAAAAATTAATTAATAAAAAAAGAGCATGATTATATATTATCCCATAATAAAAAATAAATTATTTGTATTTGAGTTAATTTAGCAATAATAATCATAAACATATGATATTAAGGCTTAATTTTGAACAATTTTTTTATTTTTTTTTATAAAACTGTTGTAGAGATAATTATTTTTTAAAACTATTGTAAAAAATATTTTTTTAGTACAATTTTTTTTAAAAAAACTGCTAAAAATAGTGGCCAAACAAAAATTTTAAATGTGGTCTAAAATGAAAAGCAATAAAAAAACTATCGCAAATGAAACCAAGTCTAGCACTTTAGTATATAAACATATCAAATATTGTGCTCTATTAATATTATAGGGTATTCATATAAAGTTGAATGGTAATAATACATGCAATGAATTATATTATAAATATCATATTAATAAGCTAATAAAAAATGAATAGAATTTCAAAAGATATAACAAATGTTGAAATATCTTGAGTTTTAATAAATTTATTTTTTATAAAACATGCAAAAATCATGAGAAGTAAAACTATCAAAAATTGAAGTAGGGTAGCGATAACATATCATGCATAGATCAACTTTCTCAACTAGCCCACTAGCTAAAATTGGCTCTAAGATCTTCAAATTTCAATTAGAGATTTAGGGTGCGTTTGGTTATGCTACAGTACTTTGTAAATGTAGTTATAAAATTGTTGCGAACAAAATAACTTTTTTGAAAACTAATGTTAAAAATAACTTCCAAGTATAAAAGTATTGAGAAAGCAGCAAAAAAAAACAGTAGTCATACAGAAATTGCAGTTGCGATTTGAAAAGCAATACATTAAGAAAGTTGATCCAAAACGAAGTCTTAGGGCATCTCCAACCGAAACTCTCATTTTTCACTGCAAAATGCAGTAAAATCAAAAAGTGCTGATATTCATCTCCAGTGGAACGCTATTTTGCCCCCAAATCATCGTTCTTTTTTTTCGCACCTTTCTCGGACGAGTTCGGTAGAGAGAAAGAAATGGCGCAAGTGAACAGTGCGACACCAATATTGGTGTTGCACTGTTCAACTGCAATCAAATAGCGGAAGAAATAGCGTTCGGTTGAGACATTTGAGGGCCTGCATTCGGCTGTTTGCCGAACGGTTGGAGATGGTCTTAGGCTTCATTTGAGAAGGCTTTTTTACTTTTTTTTTTTTAAACAATTTTTTATTACAAAAGTTGAAATTTTTGTACTTGAAAGTTGCTTTAAAAAACATCAAAAAACAATAAAAAATGATGCCTTAATATGCTTTGAAGTGAAGGTTATTTAAACATATATTTCGAATAACTAAAAAGTGACGGTGGTTTCTGATGATCGGTTTAAGAGGTGATGATATACCGTAACAACACAATAGCAATGTTAATAGTTAGATTCTTTTTTGATATTCTCTTAATTACACAACATGAATGGTTTGTTAATCTTAGATATACAATAGACTTCTTTATAGTGAAAAGGATTAATAAATGAATTTTCTTACCAAAGTTTATTTGTTTATTTTAGTTGCATGTCAATGTAGCATTTTTATTTTTTTTGCATGTCAATGTAGCATAATGATTACAGAGGAAAAACTTAGGCATTCTTATTCTAAGGTTTTGTTTCTGGAGAAATTATAATGTGCGGTCATCGGACGTCATTCAGAGGCCAATCAAGACGTGCTGCATCCTGATTTACCTCCGAACGATTCGATGACCGTACGTAATAATTTCTCTCGTTGTGATATTTTATTTATTATTTTCTAAAACAGCTTTTAAAAACAAAAAAGAAAGTGAATCATGAATTTTTGTACTAAAAAGCCATTTTATAAAGCATTAAAAATGGAGCCTTAGTGTCATAATAAAAAAAATTATAAACCCTTGATGAAGTGTGTGTAAGGCTTCGTTTAGAACAACTTTTTTATTGTTTTTTAAAGGCAGAATTTTAGTACAAAAATTAAAATTTTGTACAATTTTTGTACTAAAATTCTATTTTAGTAAGCAATAAAAAAGACATTACAAACAAAGCCTAAATTAGTTAAATGATGAAGGTGCATATAAACATCAAGATATGATATTTAAAAATAAAAAATAAAAAATAAAAAATAAATCAAGATATGATATTTATTGTAGTTGGCTTGTAAAATAAAAGAAACTTTTTTATAAACAAACAATTGAGAAGAATCTAAATAGTGAAGCTCAATAATTTTATGACATGTCACATGTATCTTAATACTCTTTGTCGTGATTATAAGAATAACTATAAATTTTATGTTGTTGATAGATTGACAAGCATTCAAAGTAATTATAATATTTCACTTCATTCTTTTCTTAACTTATCGAACTTATCGAACTACGCATGATTGCTTTGATTAGTACGGCAACTGATTGTAATGTAAAGCGAGTTAAATAATATATTACGCAACTCATCTTGGTCTGTTGGTTAGAGGTATTGGCTAATAATTAAGAGGTCTTTGATTCAAAGATAACGTGTGTGATGTGAGTGTGTGAGTTGGTCTTAATAGCTCAAATGTCTTATAAAAGTTGAAGAATATTGCTCTTTCAATATTCCAAAAAGTGGTCTAACGAGTTGGTTTTCTTCGCAGTAGGTTTTTCTCGAAAAACTTATACTGTCTTGTTGGTGCAAATGCTATGTCTGATATAAAATATATTGTAGATATTTTGATGACTTTATGAATAGCTCATTTACTAATTATTATAAAATTAGAAAAGTAAATCTTACCAAATCTGATAAATTGAAGAAATGTTGGGAGATTTAATGTCTCGTCTCTTGACTCTATGAAAAAAATTGAGTTTCACTTGAAAGATCAACTTGCATTTTGGGGATATTTTTTATTCATACTTGGTGATAATTTTAGTGATTTCTATGAGATTTTTGCTCATTTTACGATCTTGTTGGGATTACTTTTCTATTGTTTTACTTTTTCGATCGCAATCATAGTTTCTATTTGGCTATTATTTTTGTTGCTTTCAAAAAAATTTGTACTAACAAAATAATTTTTACAATGGCTTTAAAAAAATTTGTGCTTCTCACAAAGTTTATTTTAGATATTTGGTTTGTTAATCTTAGATATACAATAGACTTCTTTATAGTGAAAAGGATTAATAAATGAATTTTCTTAACAAAGTTTATTTTAGTTGCATGTCAATGTAGCATTTTTATTTTTTTGCATGTCAATGTAGCATAATGATTACATAGGAAAAACTTAGGAATTCTTATTCTAAGGCTTTGTTTGTGGAGAAATTATTATGTGCGGTCATCGGACGTCATTCAGAGGTCAATCAAGACATGTCGCATCCTGATTTGCCTCCAAACGATCCGATGACCGTGCGTAATAATTTCTCTCGTTGTGATATTTTTTTTTATTATTATTTTCTAAAACAGCTTTTAAAAACAAAAAAGAAAGTGAATCATGATTTTTTGTACTAAAAAGTCATTTTATAAAGCATTAAAAATGGAGCCTTAGTGTCATAATAAAAAATTTATAAACCCTTGATGAAGTGTGTGTAAGGCTTCGTTTAGGACGACTTTTTTATTGTTTTTTAAAGACAGAATTTTAGTACAAAAATTAAAATTTTGTACAATTTTTGTACTAAAATTCTATTTTAATAAGCAATAAAAAAGACATTCCAAACAAAGCCTAAATATACAAAAAAATGCTTTGAACCTAGTTAATGATTTTAATATCACATGAAGATTATGAATCACAATAAGCTTGTGTTTATTTCCATAATATTATATATATATATATATAGTTAAATGATGAAGGTGTATATAAACATCAAGATATGATATTTAAAAATAAAAAATAAAAAATAAATCAAGATATGATATTTATTGTAGTTGGCTTGTAAAATAAAAAAAACTTTTTTATAAACAAACAATTGAGAAGAATATAAATAGTGAAGCTCAATAATTTTATGACATGTCACATGTATCTTAATACTCTTTGTCGTGATTATACGAATAAGTGGAATAACTATAAATTTTATGTTGTAAGCATTAAAAGAAATTATAATATTTCTTACGATTATTTTAATCATTTTGACTAGGAAACAAATATTTTCTTAATTTTGAATGTACTAATCTATGATTTAAAAATGTTATATATGAGCATATAAGTTGACATCATATAAATTTAGAAAAATTGGTGGTTATATCATCCATAAGATACTAAAACTTGGAAGTATTTTGATCACACATATCCTAATTTTGCTTTAGAGACATGAAATGTTAGAGTTGACTTATTTGTTGATGATTTTACTTAATATAATCAATCTGCTTTATCATATTTATATTGGCTAATTATACTTACAATAATTATTTCTAATCCAAAGAATATGAAGGGTAAAATAAATATTTATCTAGAACATTTAGTCAATGAATAAAAAATGTTATCAAAGGAATGTGTGCCTATATATAATATTTCTTGAAAATAAAATATTTATATGAAAGTATCATTCAATGGATTAGAAATAGGACACAATGGAGACCCCACGTAGTGGGATAAAGGCTTGATGTTGTTGTTGTTGTATATGAAAGTATCATTCAAATGGACAAATAATAA